GTTGGTTTATTTCAGTCTTAGTCCGTATTTCCACTCTGGCTGTACCATTCATATTCATTAACCTTCAATTCTATAAATAAACCCCAAAAAAATCCACAAAATGACAGCTAGCCCTATTGCATTTAATTTTGATTATTAAATTACTTTGATGCCCTATTGAGTGTTTTGGGCTTTTTTATGAGGTTTTGGGGCTGAGTTTGTTTTAAGAAATCAATGACAGTTTTGTAATTTAAAAGAAATTCAAAGTCTTTTTGTTATGTTGTAAATGGGCTTTGAGTGTGTTTCTAAAGTCCATTTCATATAGGGTTTTATTTTTTAATATTTGGGCTCCTATGTTGGTTATAATAGTGAATCTCCCAAAAAATAATCAAAGTTGATGACTATAGGGTGTAGAGAGCAAATTTAGTGAAAAAAAATAATTAAAGTTGATGATAAATTTTCTTTACAGTCTGAAAATCTAGTAAAAAAAAATCCAAGTTGATGACATTTTATCACTAGCATTAATTTTTTTTTAATGCTGGGTGTAGAGACCAAATTTAGGCTGTATTTAGCAATACATTTTTTTTTTGGTAGTGATACTTGTGGCCCATTAGAGATTCTTTTCTGGTTCATATTTCATAAGCACGTCCTACGTAATGAAGTCATTTGTATTTCCAACTGCATTTGATCCAAAAAACCAAAGAAGAAGAAACAAGAACTGACCAACTTAATTCAAATGGAACTACAAAAGTGTTTAAAAATCGATGCTCAAAGAATAAACATTGTGAAAAGGTTCATTGATTCATGGCCATTATCAATTGCGCAACTCAAAAAGCTTCCTTCACCAACCTTCTTTTCCCTTCTTGCTTGTAGAATTCTTCAAAAAACTCTGCGTACTTATAGCTCCGATACAATGGAGGGTGTTCCTCGTCAATCAAATCCTCAATTCGACCAATCACTGTGTCCTTTTTGGGGCCGTAGAACATTGTTAATGACAACCTTGGCTCAACTTTGTTGATCACTGCACTCTGGTGCACGCTCTTATACCTTCCATTACTCAAAACCTATAGAAGATACACAAATTCAAACCCTGGCTGCTCTTCCCAGCTCTTAACCTCACATTCCCACCTCCATCACTTCCCTTACCGTCCCCAACCCACCACTTGGTCCGCTGGCACAACGCAGCCTTACTTAGGCAGAGGCACAAGACCGGCGAGCCAAAGGGCTCTGTTACAATTGTAACGAAAAGTACAGGCCAGGCCACCGCTGTGTGAAACCCATCGTGGCTTTGATTGATGCCACCACTGCCGAAGATGACTCAGTGAAATTTCATGACTTCCTTCATACTAAAGAACCCCAAGACACCACATTTACTATATACTCCATCACCGGTGCGACCTTTCCTTGGACAATGCGATTAGACGGCTCCTGTCACAATACCCCAATTCACATTTTTGTGGACTTAGGGGCCTACATTCAGTTTTCTCCACCCTTCAATTGCTCACAAACTGAGTCTGGCTCTCGACCTCTCTTTTGTGTAACACCTCTACACAGCTTCAGGAGAACATCTCACCACACAAGGGACAATTCATCAGCTTTTGGTACAGGTTCAAGATTATACACTTACTTTCACCTTCAAAATTCTTCCTGTTACCATCATTATAGCTTGATGGGCCTTGTTCCCAAGCCCACCTCTACTGTTAATTGCCACAGTATGACCAGGGCCTTAAATGTTTAAAAAAAGAGAAGGGGTTTTAAACACCTTTGACTGCTTCGTCAAAACTTTGAAGTATGAGGTGTGTTGGTTTATTTCAGTCTTAGTCCGTATTTCCACTCTGGCTGTACCATTCATATTCATTAACCTTCACAGCGTTTCATTTAACTATGAATCATTTGACAGTTTGGGAAATTTCACCTTTTCATTTTCACTGCTTGGTGCAATTGCATTCATGGCTCATGATGTATTGTTTTCAATTTTCTTCTTCTCAGATATCGCTTGTATCGAAAGAAAAATATAACTGGGTATTCTCCATGCAATGCATCTAAATTCAGATAGTGGAGTTGGTAGCGAAATGTCATATCGCAACATTAAACTCTTTAGCAAGCTTATACCAATTTCAACTAACACACCAGTTGAACAACCCACCCCTCCCTCTGAAATACTCGAACTCATTGCCCAATTCTCGGATTTGTACCACATACCAGCCGCCCTACCCCCGCACCGTCAAGTCAACCACCAGATTCCCTCAATCCCAGGCACCACGTGAGTAAATATGCGCCCCTACAGATATCCCTATCTCCAGATAGCTATTGGAGGTAATGTGTCAATTACATGGCTCTTAATGCAGCCACTATAAAAGACTGGTTTCCTATTCCTATCATTGATGAGCTATTGGATGAACTCAAGAGGGTCACCATATTTTCTAAATTAGACTTACGGTCTAGTTATCATCAAATTCGGATGCACCCGGATGATGAGTCAAACAAAGTAGGGTAAATATTCAAATATGCTCATATTCTTATTCTTATCTAATATGGAGGTATTTATAAAAAAGTACAACCCTAAATAAAATAGGAAATAAATTTAAATTACAAAAGAAAATAAATCTCTATTACAATAGGACTAAATAATAATTGGTAAGTAACCAAAATTCTAACTAAGTAAGGACTCGCCAATATGATAGAGTTCACCTTAGTAGGGTTGTGTGTGTGGTGTTGTTTAAGATAGAGTTCAAAACTATATGTTACTCTTGTATATTATGAAGCTCCGTCACTATCTAAAGGTTTAAGTTGAAAAACACCTCTACTTATGCACAGTCTTATAATATGTTGCTTAATGAATTTATTTCTAAAATAAACAAGTGGGGGATTGTTGAAATTGGTATGTTTATTTTAAATATATATATATATATATATATTTAATATTTCAATAATTGCCTTAAATTGTCTTTATTAATAGGAGTTATTTTCTATTAATATTGGCTGATTTTTTCAACTGATGCTTTGATGTCTTTAAAGCCCACCAACCTCTCTTTTGTGATAAATCTTGTATATATAACTAATATAGCTAGGAGAGAAAAAGACACAGACCATAGCTTGTATAAATGTTTCATGGGTTTTTATTGTTTATTTGGATTTGTATTTTTATGTTGGGCTTGCTTTATTTGTTGGTAATGGACTACATTTGGTTTGAGTATTCCACATTTTGTTTCCTACTCTTAGGGCTCGTTTGGTACATCGGACTGTACTGATTAATTTTTGTCGGATAATATTAATTAGTTTCGAAGAGTACTGACTGTTTATCCATAATATTATAAGGCGTTTGGTGTTGTTCTGGATAAATAGTCTCACTAAGTTATACTGTGTTTGGTGTTGTTACGGATAACATCGAATCAGACAATTTAAAAAAAAAAAAAATTTGATAATTTAAGTGGAAATTGAAATTCAAATGACATGAATTTTTTTAGATAAGGTTCATATGACAAGATTTTTTTTTAAAATTTCTTTTTGCCAAGATCTATAAGATAAAATTACACAAACTAATCTAACCTGTAATTGATCATACAGATATGAGAGTAAATCCTCTCTGTAGAAATTACAAAATTCCAAATTTGCTTTTGTAATCAATTCTTCAAGAGGATGATACTGAGAAGCAACTAGAGAATTTATATAAGTTGCATAAGTTCGTAAGGGCTTCAATTTGAGTCCTCATCAATTCCTTTGTGTGCAAATAGAGTAAGTTCAGAATACACTATGCTGTTCAGACATTCCACCACAAAAGACGAACACGAAGAGCGCCTCAAACCCACTTATGCATGCAAGGTATATCTAGTGCACATATTTAACCTTCCACAACCTTTCCCACCGAAACAACGAAAGCATGATTAACAAGACTACATTAAATTGATGATTGGAACAACCAATCAAGTTTGGGCAGCAAGGTCACTCATGTATTGTTCTAATTCTTATGGGTTTTGATTATAAAAAAACAGTCAAAAAGGAAAAACTCATAACCTAATTTTCACAAAAAAATTAATAAAAGAGGAAATATAATAAATCAATAAAGAAAAAGAGAAGATTAACACAGAAGAAGAGAGAAGAAGCATATTGAAAAGAGTATGAGAGAGAGATGGAAACATGGAGAAGAGTGAAGAGAATAACCTGTGGAGAAGAAGATGAAAATATCGTATGATTTTTCAAGTGAAGGTGTGTTATTTTTCCCTAGCCATATAATTAAGCGTGTATTATCTAAACCAGGGTGTGTGAGCTGTATTAGTTAGTCAGGTAAGGAGAGTATTAAAAGCCCAACCTGTATAAAATAGTCATGTAATTAAATAATACAAGTTGACACCAAAACACCTGACATAGACTATTTACTCCTATACAGAGTCTAATACGGTGTACCAAACGAGCCCTTAAGGCCTCATTTGGTAGGCTGGCCTGGACTGGTTAGGATTAACTTGTAAGTATTGGATTGGATTGGATTGGCTGGGATTTTAAGTCTAGTGCAGTTCACTTTTGCACCAAACAATGGACTGGATCAGACATTGAATGCGAGAGGGATCTCTGATGCATGTAGAGTTATTTCTTTTTCAAACTGGAACCAAATGAAAATTTTTAACTTTTTGGGGGAGATTGAAGAAAGAGGCCCAACTTTTTACAAGAACCACCCAATAACAAGAGCTGCCATTGTTGCCGATTGTAGCCTCTGAGTAATAACAATTCCCAATTTTTGAGACAAGGAAAAAACAAAAAATTTCACAATACCAAACCGAAAAGAGAACCCATGGCATCGAATCCAAACAGAGACTTTTATCAAGATCTAACCGTTACCCAATCTCATATCAAGATAATAATAAATATCAATTTTTATATAAAAAACTGAAAATTCGATGCAAAAATCACAACAGTACAGACGATGCGAGGAGAGAGGAGAGACATGATAGAAGAGAGAAGAAGGCAAACCACTAGATAACAGACTGGATAACAAAGTACAGACGATGCGAAGGAGGCGGAGGGAGACGAGGCGCTCAGATTCATTGTAAACCCATGTCTATTGATGGGTTTGGAGTCCCTTGTTATTCTGGATTGGTGTCTAAGAGCCATGTCCAGTCCATAATGCATTTTAAGCTCACCAAACAACAGACTGGACTCATGTCCATTTTAATTGAATATATCCAATCCAGTCCAGCCCACCAAACAGAGCCTAATGGATAGAGTTATCTTGAAAAAATTAAAAAACTTTATCTTGAAAAGATAGGAGGGAGTACACTGACATCGACACTTGAGGCTCCTACAAGTAAAATACAAGAAGAGATTATTGATGAACACCACCAACGGATTGAAGCACAAACAGCACAAAAGGCACGCTCGGTCACCTCATTTGTCACCAAATCAACACATCTGGAGTAGATATCCAGCATGAATCTCAAATCTCAGATCTGCAAAAGAAACAAACAAAATACAAAGCGCCGACAACACAAACTGAAACAACAGAGCAACCACATCGGCTACAGGGATAAACCACCCAAGCCACCGAAAACCAAAAGTCACAGCAAGAGAATAGGAAGAGGAAAAGAAAACCAAGGAGAGAGGAGGGGAGGGAGGGGAGGAGCGGACTGGAAACAAGGAAGGAAATGGGCAGGGACGAGAGGAGAAGAGAGAGGCGAGATGGAGGCAGGGCAGAGGGGGAGGGAGGGGGAAACGCAGAGGCCACCCACCCCAAAAGGAGGTGGCGGCCAAGTCTTCAAACCTTGGGTTTTTCCTTCCTAGGGAGAGAGCGGCTAGGTTTTCCTGGAAATGACTAAAAGGCGCCTTTATTTTTGGACGCACACAAAACATGTTACACAAGGATTGGTTTTCATTTCAGGCCTAAATCTCTCCATCCCATAATTCTTCAACGGATTTGTACGGTGATGATGATCCATCAGCCGAAACCAGTTCTTCTTTCAACATCATTTTGTGCTGTGGGATTTGATTGATCTTGTTAAGGTCATCCTCTGATAGCTCCCAGTCAAACACCTGCAGATTCTGCTTCAACCTCTCCTTGTTGTAGCTCTTAACAGCAAGAGTTGCCCCTGCCTGGTACACCCATCTAATGCAAACCTGCCAAAGTTTAAGTTCCAACACACAGTTACAAATTGTTTGTTTGAATTGAAGCCATGCCCAAAATGTATATACTTGAAAATAATTAATGGGTTATATCTACTCCTAATTTTGAATGAAAAATAATATGACACTTTGTGTTTTGCTATATAACAATTAATGTGGCAAAATGTGACAGAATGATCTCAAGAATAAAAGATAAAAAATGTGACAGAACCTGAGCAATTGTTTTTCCTCGAGCCTCTGCTATATCCTGAAGCACTTTGCTTTCCAAAACATGATTGGTACCCCAGCCGGTTCCCATGGCACCCAAAGGAGAGAACGCGGTCACAACTATACCATTGTCCTTGCAGAAGTCTCTTAGCTTCTTCTGTTGCCAGAATGGGCTCATCTCCACCTATATTTACACATAGACTCCCAAATTAATGAATTTTGTTTATTTGGAAAAAGAAAAGAAAAGAAAAGAAACCAAAGCATGTATAGAAAGAAAATGGACTTACTTGATTAACTGAAGGAGGAATGGTAGCAAAAGAGAGTAAAGTTTCAATCTTTTTGCTGGAGAAATTGCTGACTCCAATTGATTTGGTGAGGCCAAGTCTCTGAGATTTTTCCATGGCTGCCCACACACCCATGAAGTCCAGGGGCATAAGGTCAACTGGTGGGGATACCAATTTTCCAACCATCAATTTTCCTGGCTTGGAACTGATGGGCATGTGGATGAGATACAGGTCAAGATACTCCAATTGAAGATTTCTGCACACATAATCATATAATCAAACAAAACCACTCACCCCAAAATTCCAATTGCTTGAAAAAAAAAAACAAAAAACAAAAATAGATTGTGAGATTTTGAGATTCACTCAAGTGATTTCTTGAGAGCAGGAATGACAAGATGAGGGTGAGCATCATTGCTCCATAACTTTGAAGTGATGAAGAGTTGGTCTCTGGAAGCAACAAGGCCAAGCTTAAGTGCTTCTTTTATAGCTTCACCCAGAGTCTGCTCTGAGCCATAAATGGCAGCTGTATCAAAGTGCCTGTAGCCAAGCTTGATGGCCTCAAGAACTGCTGTTTTCAACAGATTAGGCTGTATGTTGTCAGCTGCTGTGCCAAAGCCAAGCACAGGCATGCTCTTGGGGCCAACGGAGGAGCCAAGCACCACCTCTGGGATATGGGCTGAAGAAGCAGCATTTGCCATCTTTAGTTTCTTATGTTTGGAAATTAGCTCAAGTTTTTGATCAAGTTTTGAAGTCTGGTTTTTAATTTTTCATCAAGTGAAGGTGCTTTTAAACTGCTAGATTTCAGTCAATTCTTGGCTTATTATTATTAGACAAGAGAATGGTCAAATTCCCGTCCTACAAGGCTGCTAACTTCATTTCCCTTATTATTTATTAATTTTCATGTTGTACAGAATATGGTGGAGCCCACATAAAGAAGATAAGGAAAATGATGGTGAAGCTTGTCTGCCAACACCGACCCTTAGAGCATGTCCACCCATGAAGGCTAAGGCAAGGCAAGGGCTGCCACTATTCATGTGAATAGTGTTAGCCTTGCCTTAGTTGGTTCCACCCTTGGAAGGCTAGGGCAAGGGCAAGAAAAAAAAAGATTATGCAACAAAATATAAACAATTTAGAAAGTGAATAAAATTGTTATGTATTTATAGGGAAAATATCTATAATTTTTTGGTATTTTTTAAAAAAAAATTTGAAAATTTTTTGGATTTTTTTGAATTTTTTTTACTCGCTGACATCAGCGCTGACGTCAGCGCCTTCGAGCTGCAGCCCAGGCAAGATCTGCCCGTGGGCTTGCCCAGTTTGATGGGACCCACCATTTGCCCGGGCTATTTCTCTCCCGCTGGAGCTCTCTTGGGCTGCCTTGGGGGCCTTTTGCCCAGTCTTGGCTCAAGGCTGGACATGCTCTTAGAGCATCTCCACCCATAAGGGCTATAAGTCTAGGGCAAGGGTAAGCAAGGGCTGCCACTATTCATGTAAATAGTGTCAGCCTTGCCATTTGTGGTTCCACCCATGAGGGCTAAGTCTAGGGCAAGTCTAAGGCAAATACTATTCATTGTACTTTATTTCATATTTTTTTTATACTTTAAACAATTAATTTTGATAATTTTTTGTAATTAAATTTTCGGATAAGATTTTTGGTTGTCACATGTCCATTATTTTTCAGAAAAGATTTTCGGATGAGAATCTCGGTTGCCATGTATCTTATTCTAGATAAAATTTTCGGATATTCATTAAAAAAAATTATAATATCAGATTTCAGATAAGATTTTCACCCTATAAAATTGTGTCACGTGTCCCATGTCAAATAAGATTTTCAAATATTTTTTTTAAAATTCTAATCTCAGATTTTAGATAAGATTTTCACCCTCTAAAATTGTGCCACGTGTCCCATGTCAGATAAGATTTTCAGATATGTTTAAAAAATTATAATCTCA